GTCACAGCTCATAGCAACCTCAAACTCATGGGCTTAAACGATTCTCTTGCCTCGGCCTCCCAAGTAGCTGGGACTACAGGCGCCCACAACAACATCCTGTTATTTTTTTGTTGGAGTTGTCGTTGTTTAGCTGGCCCGGGGTGGGTTCAAACCCGACATTTACATGGCCGGTGCCCTACCCACTAAGCTCCAGGCTCCACCCCATTTGGTATTCTTATTGTCACTCAATACGTGGAAAAGTCTCCTAGGTTCATAGGCTAGACCTTTTATTTTGCAAAGGTTTTCCAGAATATTTGTCACTTACCTATTTTTTCTGTATGTTAGGAATGATGTGCATTGTGAAACCAGATGGACCTCCCCAGCTCTGCAAAACAGATGAAATTGGAGAAATCTGTGTCAGCTCCAGAACTGGAGGCATGATGTACTTTGGGCTTGCTGGCGTGACAAAAAATACATTTGAGGTACATGTTATTAACATTTCACAGAGAAAGTATTAGGTGAGATCAGGATGCTACTAGGGATGCCCTGGCTCTCGGGACACAGCATAATGTGGTGTGAGAGTGCGGAATCTGGTGCTAGACTGCCCAACCTCGAATTCTGACTCTGCCATTCACTAGCCTTGGGAGAGTTGCCTAGCGTCTTTGTGTCCCAATTTCCTTATCTTTAAAAATGTTAGCAATAGTAGTACCTATACCTCATGGGATTATTGTAAAGACTAAATGAGTTGATGTTTATGAAGTGCTTAGAGGAACACGTGGTGCTGGGAAGTGCTCTTTTGTGTCTGTCAGACAAATAAAGGGTAAGAGGCCTCACAAAAATTCACTCCGGTGAATCTGAGCTCTATTAGCTCAGATTTTAATTTTGAGACTACAGTGACAGTGGCTCTATCTCTCAAGAAAGAAATAGAAAAGGCCAGGCAGCGCTTAGTTGGGCACTGGCCCCATATACAGAGGGTGTCAGGTTCAAACCCGGCCCTGGCCAAACTGCAACAAAAAATAGCTGGGCATTGTGGCTAGCATTTGTGGTCCCAGCTACTCGGGAGGTTGAGGCAAGAGAATCGCCCAAGCCCAAGAGCTGGAGGTTGCTGTGGCCTGTGACGCCATGGCACTCTACAAAGGGCAACAAAGTGAGACTCTGTCTCTAAAAAAAAAAAAAAAATAGAAAAGCCAGTAAACTGAGGAAAAGAAATTCAACCATATCACTAGTAAAGAAATGCATTTAAAGTAATAATGAATATCTTTTTTTTGTACCAGATTGGCAAAGTTTGGAAAAATGGACAACACAAATATTGGCCAGGATATGGATATGGTGCTAGTGGAGTGTGAATTGATATAATAGATTGTAGGCCAACATGTTAAAATTGAAAAGATTAATGCTGGGGTGGCACTTGTGGCTCAAAGGATTAGGGCACTGGCCCCATATGCCAGAGGTGGTGGGTTCAAACCCAGCCCCAGCCAAAAACTGCAAAAAGAAAAAAAAAAAGAAAAGATTAATGCCTTTTGTACAAATATACAAAAATATTAATATATATATATAGCAGTATTTGTAAAAGCACCATTTATAATAGCAGAAAATTAGAATAACCTACCCAGTAGTAATAAAAGACTGGTTACCTCCTCATAGCTGCCATTTCCTGAGTACTGACTCTGGGCCAGGCACCATGCTTACGTTTGCATTCCTTAGTCTTTCTTGAAGACTGTGGGAGGCATTGAGAGAACTCTCCCTTTATAGCTGAAAAAAACTGAAGCTCAGAGAAGTCCAGGAACTTGCCCCAAGTCCACATAACTAGTAGTAAGCAGATCTAGAACCTGAACTGACTTTAGGAACTGTCCTGTCCTGTCCTCCAAAATGGTACATTACAAAGCTATTCTACAGAGTGGACTAGATCAACTCTTACTGACTTGGAAGAGTATCCAAAGTATATTATGTGAAAAAGTAAGTTGCAAAACAGTTGTATAACATGATCTCTTATAAAAACTCTTAATATACGTGTTTTTTAAAAGTCCAAAGAGATAGATAAATTATCAATACCAATATCATTTTAGAGGACAGAATTATAGAATTCACTATTTATATAATGTTGAGGTTTTTTTGTTTTGTTTTGTTTTGAGACAGAGTTTCATTTTGTTGCCCTTGGTAGAGTGCCGTGGCGTAACAGCTCGCAGCAGCCTCCAGCTCTGGGGCTTAGGTGATTCTCTTGCACACAGGTGCCCACCACAACGCCTGGCTATTTTTTGTTGCAGTTTGGCTGGGGCGGAGTTTGAACCTGATACCCTCGGTATATGGGGCCAGCACCCTACTCACCCTGCTCACTTTGGATACTCTTCCACAGGTGCTGCCCATAACGTTGGTTTTTTAATGAGCATGTATTACTATTGTAATTCTTTTTAATAAGACCTCTAAAAATTCAAAAACAGTTTCTAAGAAAAAGCAAAGTTTTTGCACTTTCTTTCTTTTCTCTTCTAGGTGATTCCAGTGAATGCTGCAGGCTCTCCTGTTGGGGAGGTTCCGTTCATCCGGTCAGGATTGCTGGGGTTTGTAGGGCCAGTAAGTGATGCTTTCATGATGATTTTGGTACATCTGATCCAAATATTTGGACTTTAATTCACAAGAAAGAAGAAATTCTGATTAGTCCAAGAATGTTACAGGGCCACTTAACTTACATTTAGAGCAGTTCTTGTAAAAATGTCATAAAACGAGTTAATGTTTATTGTTTCCATTACCCAAGTTCATTTGACACCTTCCAACTGAGACATTATTTTTATTTTCAAAACTCTTTTCACTTATTCTTGATACCTTTCTTTTATTTCATTAACATGTTGCAATAAATTAAAAGAGTACTGGAAAAAGTTTTCTTTGGTAGCAAGGGGAACCCATAATACATAGTGTTCAAAGCATTTTCATACAAATTATTGGCACTACACTATGTGTAATAGTACATTTTGGAATGAAAACAGTTTGTTATTCAGCACATGGTATTTATAGGCACTGAGTTTACAGAGATAATCAGGACATGAAAAACCTATTCTCAAAGAGTTCACAGTGAACTTGATGAACTCATGAGGACAAGCAGAGAGCCAGGTCATGAAGGGCTTTGCGTGGCTTAATGGGAAGTGGGATTTATTTTGTAAATAATAGAGAGTAATTTTTTTTAGTTAAGCCCATATCCTTCCATCCATCTCTGATTAGTCCTACCCTCTCTTTCTTTTTGTCTTAACAGCTTAAGGGATTTTAGTCAAGATCTAATTTTATTTTATTTCTTCCTTATCATTTATGAGGGGTGCAACAAGGACATAGGTCTAGGCAACTCACTCTCCTAGAAATATTATCTGCGTCTACTGTCTTGACATCTTCACTCAGCACTAGGAAATTTTCAAAGACCTCTCTCCTTTTAGCATATTACTTCACTCTTGAAATCTAAGGTGGAGCTTCAGCCCTCAAATCTGCATGCCAGGAATCAGGAAAAGCTGCAGTCCTCTTCTCCATTAAGGAAGATTCCTGAATCTGTGCAGCACTTCTGCGTATATCTCATTGGTCTGAACTAGTCCCACAGTGGTACCTAGCTGCAAGGGGAGGCTGAAATGCGGTCTTTGTTTTGGTCAGCTAAACCCTGCTAAAGATTCTGCTATGTGAAACAAATACAGAAACAGATGTGGGGAGACTGACAGTGACTGTCTCATTCTCTTCCCAGCACCATAGCTTTTCAGGCTGTGTTGGAAATTGCTGCTTTTTTCCTATAATTTGTGATGGACCAGTAGCTTCTTGAGGATATAGGGATAGGTTGGGTCTTATACCCAGCCCAGTCAGTGTATGATACTACATTGTACACAACAAAGCGGTGCGTGATGTTCACGTAGAGGTAACTATTAGATAATTGAATATATGTAAATGTTCAAAAGAAATTTAGGAATTCTGCAATGAATAAAAAAGTTAATTTTTGACAAATGGATCTGGGAAGATTATTGATACCGTGATGCTTGGAGACTTTTATAGTAGACTTTCCTGCTGCTGTTATCTTACTGCAAAAAGAGGCTCCTACAATGTTCATTCCACTTGTCTTTGTTAGCATATTTCTAATCTTGCCAGATGGAACAGCATTACCCTTAAGAACCTGAAACCATCATTCTTACAGTAAAACTGATTTAATCTCTTCCTAATTCCAGTAGTAAATGAATTAACATTTTTTTCTCTACAAATAAACTGTGTGAAATCCTAGTTGCTTTCTTATAAAATTCTCCCTGAAATAACTATGAACAAATTCCTTTCTATACTATAAGACCCCATTGGCTACAAAATGCTATTGATTGGACAACTACAACTTGGACTCTGCCTAACAAATGCAAACAGTATAACCTAATCGTCCCTCCCCCCATATTAATCTGGAAATTAAAAAAAAAAAAGATGCTACTGATTTTTCCACCAATTTCAGAGATGTCAAAGTGTGCAACATTTTCCCTAGGATCCATAAAATATAGCATTGAGGCTAGGCATTGTGGCTCACGCCTGTAATCCTACCACTGTGGGAGGCTGAGGCAGGTAGATTTCTTGAGCTGAGGAGTTCAAGACCAACCTAAGCAAGAGCGAGACCCTGTCTCTAAAAACAGCAAAGCTAAGGCAAGACAATCTCTTGAGCCCAATAATTTGAGGTTGCTGTAAGCTATGATGCCGCCATGGCACTCTACCCAGGGCAACAGAGTAAGACTCTGTCTAAAAAAACAACAGCAACAACAAAAAAAGCCTACTTTTTTTTTTTTTTTAAAGAGACAGAGTCTCACTTTGTCACCCTCAGTAGAGTGCAGTGGCATCATAGCTCACAGCAACCTCCAGCTCTTGGGCTTAGGTGATTCTCTTGCCTCAGTCTCCCGAATAGCTGGGACTATAGGCATCTGCCACAACACCCGGCTATTTTATTGTTGCAGTTTGACCGGGGCCTGGTTTGAACCCACCACCCTCCATATATGGGGCTGGTGCCCTACTCACTGAGCCATAGGCACTGCCCAAAAAACCCAGTTTTTAAAATGAGATTTATTTCAAGGCAGAAAGTAAAATATATCTGTTTTACTATTTAAATCATGGAAATCAAGGTAAATCATGGTTACTTTTCAGGGTAGTTTGGTGTTCGTAGTTGGAAAAATGGATGGATTACTGATGGTTAGTGGACGAAGACATAATGCTGATGACATTGTTGCTACTGGATTGGCTGTTGAGTCAATAAAGACTGTTTATAGAGGAAGGTGAGTAGTACAAAGTTAAGTGTTAGTACTTCTAGTAAAATATAAATAGATCTGCACAGAGTTGTTTAAATTGTACTCTGTGGATTCTCTTTCCAAGTAGTGATGAGGTTGTTTTTGGTTAAGCATAGCAGAAGCCTGACTTCAAATATATATCTCACAATGTATGTTTCTTTGGCTGTAATAAAGAAGATTAGGACATAACTATATCCTCTATTTAGATTTTAATTATTACTATTTGTTGTATCTTAGGCCTTGAGAAGGATTGTAAAACCCTGGGCTTCCTGCATTTCTTCAGTGCAGAGTGGTGTCATTCAGACTGACTGAGACAGATGCTACTCTGTACAAGTTTATATCTAAGAATTATTTCGCTTACCCATTTCTAACTAAATTAATACACTATTTTAATGTGGAGGTTGACATAGCACATAAGTGCTAATTTTAAATCCCATAGACAAATTCGATTAAATATCTTTTATTCCTGCTTATTAATGTAAGAAAAGATACTGCTACATATTGAGTAGTTGAATTTCTGTTTAGTAGTTTACAATCGTGGATGTATCTCTGTAAAGCAACCTTGGTGTCCCTTTAGATTTTTAAGAAGAAAAATTAATGAAACCAAAAAAAGAACCAGTTTCCGAGAAGAGTGTTTTTTGCAATGATGTGGCTTCCTGTGAGATACAAACTTCAAGGGACAGTAGACCTGTCTTTGGTCACAGTCCTATCCCCAGCACTCAGCACAGTGCCCGGTACCTTGTAGGGTGTTCTGTAAATATGTGCAGAAGGAAGAAGGGGGAAGTTGGGCAGGTGGGCTGGCATACTCAGCTCTCCAGTGGCTTCCCGTTCTGTCATACAACAGATACTGGGTGCCTATGTGCCACTGCTTTAGATGCCCCAGCTGTGGCAGTAAACAAAATGGGCAGAGGTTCTGCCCTTGGGAAGCTGACATTCTCACTGCAGGAAATAGACAGTAACCACATAACCAGGAAAAAAGATAACATGAGATAATGATAAGTGCTATGGAGGAAAAACACCAGGCAGGTGGGGGTGGCTTGCTAGTTTCTAATCAGGTGGTCTGGGAGTGCCTCACTAGTAAGGGGACATTTGAGCGGAGACCTCACTCAGAACCAACTTCATCTTCCTCCCTTGGCCTCCCAGGTCCTCCGCGATCTACCCTTACCTGGGTCTGACCTTTCCCTCCCGCTCTCTGCTTCACCACTTTGCTCCAGGCACACTGGCCTTCTTGCTGTTCCTCAAACCTGCCAAGCTCGTCCCTACCTCAGAACCTTTTCGCTTTCCGTTCCTTCTGCCCGGAAACCTCTTCCTCCAGATCTTCGCGTGGCTCGCGTCCTCACCTCATTCAGGTCTCTGCTCCAATGTCCACTCCTCAGGGAGGCGCCCCCAGCCACCCTGCCTTCAGTAATAGACACCCGCAAACCACTCCCCGCCCTTTGTATATTGCAACATGACATTATTAAACCATTGTCTGTTCTGTCTCTAACACGTAAGCGCCACCAAGACAGGAACTTTGTCTTACTTACCACTATGTCCCTTACATTCATGGCAGTCATGCTTAATACATGTTTCTTGAATGAATGAATCTTCATTTTGATGGTAATGATTGTGACATTTTCTTTTCTAAACTACTCATTTCTGGGTGGTGTGGTGGGGATGTCTCTTCTTTGTAATTAAGCAAAGCAAATAGGACTGGTTGTGAAGGGAATTCTGATGTGTTTGATCTGTCTCTCTTAGAATTGCTGTGTTTTCTGTGTCTGTATTTTATGACGAGCGCATTGTGGTGGTTGCGGAACAAAGACCAGATGCTTCTGAAGAAGACAGCTTCCAGTGGATGAGCCGTGTTCTGCAGGTGAGCACACCTTGGGCTGTGTGTCTGGTCAGAGGAGGCAGCAACCAATGCTTAAGCATTTTCTTTGGGGATGCCTGTGGCTCAAAGGAGTAGGGCGCCGGCCCCATATACCAGAGGTGGCAGGTTCAAACCCGGCCCTGGCCAAAAACTGCAAAAAAAGGAAAGCATTTTCTTGGATGGACCAGTAAACTACCGTATTTTTTCCTTGCTAGTTCTTGCTCACATATTCTGGGTACTATTAACAGAATCCTATAATACTATTTCTTATGTGGACCACATGGTACAACATATTTTTCTGCTCATTTTGCCAAAACCAACAAAATTGACTTGGCTCTGCAAATTCTTTCATGCCTGAATATTTGCTACTCAAGAAAGTTTTCACTGTCAGTGTAACATGTTTGATAATAATTACTCCACTTGTCAGCAGGTAGTTATGGTTTTACTATGTACCACAAGTAGTGCCTACAGCATGAAAAATCTAATATATTTGTTATCCTTACTCTGAAGAAGCTTTTTTATGGAATTAGAGAAGATGCCAGGTGAGCCAGTAGGGAAGGAGAATAATTTGGGCTCAGTAACAGAAAATTGTTTCTAGAAGAGCAGGGTAGAGTGATAAAAAGAGCCTAGTCTTCATGTAGAGTTATAGACTTCGGGGGCGGCGCCTGTAGCTCAAAGGAGTAGGGTGCCGGCCCCATATGCCAGAGGTGGCAGGTTCAAACCCAGCCCTGGCCAAAAATTGCAAAAAAATATATATGTAATAAAAAAAAGAGAGCGTCATAGACTTGGAATCCCAGTTTCACTGCTTTTCAGACATGTGCCCTTAGTCAAGTTATTTAACCTCACTGAGTTTATTTCCTAACTTGTAAAGTGGGGATAAAATTATTTTATAGAGCTATTGGAAGGATTAAATGATATAATTAATTGAAGTCTATCATACCTTCATTCAGTGAATAATAATGGTGATTATTGTTGAGATTGAAAAATAATAAGCTGGGTATGGTGGCACACACCTGGATTCCCAGCTACTTGGGAGGCTGAGACAGGAGGATTGCTTGAGCCCAGGAGTTCAAGGCTGCAGTGAGTGTGATTACACCTTGAATAGCCACTGTATTCCAACCTGGGCAACATTGCAAGACCACTTTAAAACAATTAAGCCTAATAATTATAAACCTAATCTCCAATAAGGAAATAGAGAAGTGTGTTCAGTCTGAATATACCTTCAGTCTTCTTTATTCTTCTACTTAGCATTATCACCATATAAGCATGTTTACATGTCTTTTTTAAAATTTTTATTAAATCATAGCTGTGTACATTAATGTAATTATGAGGTACAATGTACTGGTTTTATATACAATTTGGAATATTTTCATCAAACTGGTTAACATAGCCTTCACAGCATTTTCTTAGTTATTGTATTTAGACATTTATATTCTATACCTAGTAAATTTCACAGGTACCCTTATAAGATGCACCATAGGTGTGGTCCCACCAGTTACCCTCCCTAAACCTATTTTCTTCCCCCTCCTCTTCCCCCTCTTTCCTGGGCTATAGTTGGGTTATAGCTTTCATAAGAAAGCTATAAATTGGTTTCATAGTAGGGCTGAGTACATTGGATACTTTTTCTTCCATTCTTGAGATACTTTGCTAAGAAGAATATGTTCCAGCTCCATCCATGTAAACATGTAAGAGGTAAAGTCTCCATCTTTCTTTAAGGCTACACAATATTCCATGGTGTACATATACCACAATTTATCGATTCATTCGTGGGTCAATGGGCATTTGGGCTTCTTCCATGACTTAGCCATTATGAATTGGACTGCAATAAACATTCTAGTACATGTATCTTTGTTATAATGTGATTTTTGGTCTTCTGGATATATACCTAGTAGAGGAATTGCAGGATTGAATGGGAGGTCTATTTTTAGATCTCTAAGTGTTCTCCAAACATCTTTCCAAAAGGAACGTATTAGTTTGCATTCCTGCCAGCAGTGTAGAAGTGTTTCCTTTTCTCCACATCCATGCCGGCATCTCTGGTTTTGCATGTTTACATGTCTTAATTGTTTCCTACATCCACTATATTAATAGGCCTCATGAAGGCCAAGATCTCTTTGTCTCTTTTATTCAGGGCGTAATCCCCAGAGCCTATAGATATGTTAGTACACATCATTGCAGACTCAGAATATATTTGTTGTCTAAATGGATGGTCCAAAAAGAGGATGGACTGTCCTTGCCCTAACAACTTATATGTTACTGGGAATGTCTGCAGTTCCTGTAACTTCTCTACTTGGGGCATTTGGATTTAACTGCTGGTTAGTAGTAATAGTATAGAAACGATGCCAATGTGAGGTGAGTGTTAGGGCTAAATGACTTTTAAAATTTGTATCTTCAGGATCTGTGATTCTGAATTATTAGCTAGCATTGCATAGGCTAGGTGTAGTAAACAATCAAAGAAAAGAAAATCTACTAAACATAGATTAGAGAGAAAAGACTGTGAAGAAGGTAGGACTGGGCTGATCTCTGAAAGCTGGCTAAGGGGCAAATAGGCAGAGAAAGTATTTTTAACACCATTCAAATTTCCAGGCAAACAAAAACCTGTCTATTTCTTCAGAATGAACTTTGGAGCATAATTATAGAGGCTTCAGTGAATTATGCAATTTCTTTCTTTTTTTTTTTTTTTT